GAAACATAATAGCAATAATAATAATAATTATACAAATGGTCAATCAATGATTTTATTGCCAAGACAACTTCATTAATATTCATGAACAAAAGCGAAATATACAGCATCTTTTCTTACATATCACAATCAAACCTTTCTGCAGACGTGGAAGCATGTCAAGGAAGTAAGGGTGCTATGGCGAAGATGTTTATTATTTACACCAATACATAAAGTGGTGTAATACGTGTGAATCCAATTTGAAGAAAAACGTTCCGAATTCGGAATCAAATTAACGTCTTTTGTGAACAACAGCGAAGAGCATAATACAATCTACTCACTGAAGCGTCTTTAGGCCATTCCCAAAGGGGGGATATTAACATGTTCTTGAGCATAGTCGAACTGTAAATGGGCTGATTTCTCAATGTCATGCTCATACTGTGCCGGAACAACATAGGGGGAACAACTGCTTTTTCTTTTGTCCTCCTTACTATCGTCATTTTCCTCTACTTCTTTTGTATGTTTGTCACTCTCTTGTGAACTGCTATTTTGTGTGCCTTGATAGTCAAAGCAGATGTTGTGCTATTGAGGCTAGAGAGGTGAGCAGTATAAGTCTGATTCCCTGTTTGGACTTCTTTGTTGACATCCACCCCTTGGCGCTCATAATATGACCTCATGCAGTTGCTAGCGCCGTAAAACCTTATTAAAACTAAACTAAAAAATATTCATCACTACACCACAGGAGCCAGTTTTTAGTTCTTGGACCGGAGGATATTCTAATTGTATTACAGGTACGGCAGAATTAAAATTTGGAAAACAAAACATCATCTACAGATTCAGATCTTCTGATGGCCAAGGCATTTATAAAATACAAATAGAGAGCTATTCCACGCTAACCGACTAGACAAATGAGGTATGTTTCCTATCTCGTCAGGTACAGAAACGAAACACATCACAGAATTTGCATAACGTACTTTTTTTTAAATGACTGCATTTAATATGTTTCTTAATAACTTCTTTTGAATGTTCGGATCCTTTAAAGTTGAAATAAACTAATCGATATTGAATTACAATGTTATCATTGTAAAAAAAGTATAGTCCAAGAATGCCCCGTCAGTTACAGTGGAATAGTCATAACATCATATATTGTCACTCGTTAACAGTGGAAGGGTTCGGGGAAGACAAAAAAAAAACAAAAAACGCGGCAGTTGTTAGTTTTGCCTGGTGATATCGTGGGTACAAGAGGGTGTGTTTAGTGCTGGGCGGTTAGGTTCCCGATTATTAATAAAAGCTAGGATTCGTAGGAATCGACTCCAATCCCAATGACTTACTTCCCAAGGATGTGATTTCTTCCGATTGTTACCTGGTTGGCTCCGAACATCTTCGGGAGTTAGGATCACTTGGATTTTGGAACACGAGGAAGCATCGACTTTTATTTTTCAAAATTATATTTTGAAAAAAAAAAAGAAAAGATTTGAATAATTAAGGTAACCGGTAACCGTTGGTTTGCGTAAAAAGGAGTCGGTACTTTTCTTCCGTAGCATTAATCGTGGGAATCGATTCCGGATTCTATTCTTCGCCCAGCTCTAGTATGTGTGTGTAGGGGGGGGGGGGGGGGGTCTCAACAGTTCGCTATCTTAAAATGACAAATCTCAGTCTGCTTAGTACCTAGATCCAGTTTTGAGAAATTTGAGGTTTAAAAAAGTGTCACACAACATTTCAAGCTTTTTTCGAATGCAATTCTTTTGAATATTATCTTGATAACGACTCCGAATAATTTTACGGTTTTGACAGAGCAGATTGAACATTTGTGAGGCAGCGTGGCGGAATCAGGCTCTCGTCAAAATAATGAAATCAAAGAAAAGAACAGTTTTCTCCCTGCTTAGCAATTTTTATCAATTTTTTATTTTTTGGCTCAACACCTTTTATGTCCATTTACGAACACATTCCTTTGAGGATTTCACCGAAAACGCTGATTAAAGGCACATAAATATAAATTTACAGTTTCCGTGGACTCTCCAGCTTTGGAATTTACCAAGCTTTGGAATTTACCAAGCTTTGGAATTTACCAAGCTTTGGCGGCCATTTTCTACTTTTACCTCTTAAACCAGGTGACCCCCACCTCCTTCAATCCAAAATATCTCCACTACTATAATTGAAGATGAATGGGTAATATTTTCTTTGAAAGCAAGACAAATGAACAAGCTTTAAGATGATACCAATAACTCAATACACCCAAAAATTGACGAGAGCCTGATTCCACCATGCTGCCTCATATTTGGCATCTAATCTTGTGGTCTCAGAGCTTTAAAAAGATTGTTTTAAATGTCAGATCGAACTTGATAATATTAAAATAGCGAGTTGTATTGATGCTAAGGGCAAGGCATTATTCTCGTCACTCACCAACAGATGGGAGTGACGGGGAAGACAACATTTTAGAAAAAATAGTAATCAGGATTATTATTTCTTATGCCATCTCAGGGCAATAGAGTATAACGAAGAGTTATTATATAATAGAATGTAGTTATTTATTATGCTGATGGTCAAGGCATTATCATTGTCACTCGCCATCGCGGTATGAGTCAGGACAGACGGGGTTAGGGTTGTAGAAAAGTGGTACATTTTAGTAGGTCAAACTGGCAAGTTTAAAAGGAAAACACAGAAAAGTCAAAGTAGTTTTGTTTTGTTTTTTAAACCTCGACAACCAAGAGTTTCCAAGAAGCAATATTTGAAAATCATTTTCTTAGTGGACCTGTCATACATTAGAAACAAGCGCACTAACTTTCTAAAAGGAATATCTCGAGAACAAAAAAATATTTACTTCAATCACAGCCTTGCAAAAATTATACATACGGAATATACATTCTTCGATACCTCTGCTATTGCTATACAACAAAGCCATTGGACGTGAAAGGCAAAGGTAATGAATTATAATGACACAATAATGGCCATTTAGTGCCGGGAAAAGGTAAGACAGACAGACAGACAGGAACAACAGAGTGAGAGAGAGGGAGAGAGAGAGAGAGAGAGAGAGAGGGATGAAAGAAGTAGGGCCTACCCGTGGCGTTCATGAACCACCTGCAGACTAATCTTAGAACCCACTGCTGGATGACATTTATATTTTACGCCCTCATCAGCACAATTTAGACCAATTAGGGGGTGAGCTTCCACCCCCGCCTGCCACACATGGGAATCCAACTCGGGTGTTCTGCAAAGAGACTACCCAAATAAACCACCCATTACTGCACAGACACCCAATGAAGTAGTTTTCATACACAATGATGATATTTTGCATTATTCGCCGCCATTGCTATACATCTCAGTCTGTAACAGTTACTTTGTCATACTAAGTATGCACGTAATACACTATTGGACACTATCAAACGCACTTTTTTCTACTACTCAGATGGCGTCAATCTCATAGAAATGAACAAGGGTTAAAAAAAAGAAAACTTTTAATAATAATAGAACTGAGCTACACACCACCAACGTCTTGCTATAGTGATAAGACATTTCTTTGTCGCACGCAAAAGACTCGAGTTCGAATCCCGAGCGGGAAGAAATATTTATGGAGTATCTCCGTCTTTCTGTTAGGATGTTGTATCCCTTTCAGCCCGGGTTGGTCTGAACAGGCAGGGTTGAAAGCTGCCACCTTAATTGTCTAAATCGTGTCGATGGAGGAGTAAAACACTTGCTATACAATTTAAAAAATCAAGAATAATTGAATTAATTAAACATCCCAAGTAACAACCCAGAAGGAAGAAAATTCAAGACAAAACTTTGAGACGGCACCTCCGTAGTAGAAAGTTTTGAAGAGTCTTTACCAGAAAATCTACTTATCAACCAATCGTCCTAAATACAGAGAACCTATAATGTACAGTCTAGCGCGCACATAGCGAGCACACACATACATAGCAAGAAACAATCAAGAACACACATAGCAAGATACAAGCGTGCACATACATAGCACGATACAAGAGAACACACACATAACGAAGTACTTACATAGTGTATACACACATAACGAAACAAGGTGCATTTTCGAAATGAAGCGTTTCTGTCTTAAAAGGGAGTTGAGTTAATAAAAAAACAAAATATGACCTTTTCCAAGAAACAAAAAAAAGAAAAAAAGGAAAAAAAAACCCCACAAAAATTTGAAGCAACCAAACAAACAACTTCTCCCATATAAGGTATCGCTTGGAGATATCACAGGTGAAGAGACACAAGACATCAATTGGACAAAATCTCCGCCCATGCGGCGAGAGAAAGGTTTATGGCTCAAATCTCCTCGTGAATCGAGTCAATAGCAGTCCAAGTAAGTCAATGAATGCCCATCTAGTGAAAGATAGAGACACGACCCAATAGAATAGTATTGACTCATAGTTGTTATTCTAATAAATCTAGGTTTGTGATTTTATTATTTTTTTATGTGGGCGTTTAACGGCCCCATCTGCACAATTTGAACCACTTATGAAGCGGGTTTTGATCTTAGCCTGTCAGGGCCAACCCTAGCTGAAAGGGATACATCACCCCAGCATAAGTACCGAGATACACAATAAAATATTCTCCTTACTCGGGACTTGAACTCGGGTCCCCTGTGTGTGACGGCGAAGCGCCTAACTGCTACACCACAAATGTCATTGATTAACAGCTACACCACAGACGTCAGGGATTTACTGCTACACCACAGACGTCAGGGATTTACTGCTACACCACAGACGTCAGGGATTTACTGCTACACCACAGACGTCAGGGATTTACTGCTACACCACAGACGTCAGGGATTTACTGCTACACCACAGACGTCAGGGATTAACTGCTACACCACAGACGTCAGGGATTAACTGCTACACCACAGACGTCAGGGATTTACTGCTACACCACAGACGTCAGGGATTAACTGCTACACCACAGACGTCAGGGATTTACTGCTACACCACAGACGTCAGGGATTAACTGCTACACCACAGACGTCAGGGATTTACTGCTACACCACAGACGTCAGGGATTTACTGCTACACCACAGACGTCAGGGATTTACTGCTACACCACAGACGTCAGGGATTAACTGCTACACCACAGACGTCAGGGATTTAGGGCTTAAAACATTAGAGGAAATCATTTTCCTCGGCACTTATATTACCTATACCTGTGCAGCAAGTGCCATGAAACTCCAGCTAAAACAAACTATTATTATTTTGTTCCAATAATAATATTATTATACTGGACACTTTGGTAATGTTCGGAGTCTAAACTGTTTTGAAGAAAAACGTTCCGATTTAGGAATCAAATGAACGTCTTTTGCGAACAATAGCGAAGAGCATAATATAATCTACTGTTAAAACAACCAATGCACAGCGGTGAGGCAAAGTACTGAAGGTCTGAGGTTCCAATTCCTTGAAGAACGTGGCAGCTCGGATCTAAATTGGGTTCAATGTGTCAAGGAGCGTGTATAACTCGGATAGCTATTTAAACGGTTTGTGTTCAAATCCTGCGAGAAGACAGACCAGCTCAGCCCTGCCCTTCGCTCTAAAGCCACCAAAAGATAGTCTTCTAGAAATATATATATACTCAGAAACAGATACACGAATCCATTGCAAGGTCCCGGGTTCGAAACCCAGAGAGCACGCTTCACCACACGGTTAGTTTTTCGGCTGAAAAGGAACGTTCCCTAAGAAAGCAACAACAACAGTATTGAACGAGACTCGACCAACGATTGGAGGGTTGGGGTTCCAACCCCTGGAAAGACAGTAGTCGTGGGGTTAGCTCTGTAGCTTGTGCCAGCAGGCGACCTGTTTGCGTGCGTTGTGAACCATCTCCAGCCACTGCGCGCGCGCATCTGGGTCAAAGTTCACGCCAATATAGAGCCGCCCCAGTAAGTGTCGGCCGTCTTCTTTGTCCTGAGGG